CTCTCTCTCTCTCTCTCTCTCTCTCTCTCTCTCTCTCTCTCTCTCTCTCTCTCTCTATGAAATTCATATGATTACTTGTTTCGTCAAAGTTTATCTTGGGCGTCATCGTCTGTAGGCAGGGTAACGTAATGTAGACGCAATTTAGATCAGATTTTCGAAGGCAAATATTTCAGGGCTTGTCATCTAGGATTGTCATTCAAGATTTGTTTTGATTGATTGATTGATTGATGGATCGGTCGATCCCTGCCTGTACGCCGCTCGGACGCGTGTTATGTGGCGATCCCAAAACAGAATCGATTACGTAATCGATTCTGTTTTGGAATCACCTGAAACAGGCACCTGCACGCGGCGGTTCGCCACACTCAAGTGCTTGTTTGAAGCGATTCCAAAACAGAATCGATTCTGTTTTGGAATCGCCTCAAACAGGCACTTGAGTGTGGCGAACCACCGCGTGCAGGTGCCTGTTTCAGGTGATTCCAAAACAAAATCGATTACGTAATCGATTCTGTTTTGGGATCGCCGCATAACAGGTGCCTCGCAGCGGCGAAGTGGCCCGTGCAGGTGCCTGTTTCAGGCGATTCCAAAACGGAATCGATTACGTAATCGATTCCGTCGTGGAAGTGCTTCATATAGGCGTCCGAGCGGAGTAGAGGGAGGGAGCGATGGAGGGATCGATCAATCAATCAATGAATCAATCAATCACATTTTATTGCTGCTCGCCATCGTCCTCCCCCTCCCTTCTCCTCCTCCTCCTCCTCCTCCTCCTCCACGCCCTCCTCCACGCCCTCCTCCAACTCCGGGGCCTGGCCTGTAGTTGCTTGTGAAGGGCGGTGCTTGCATGTGGGACTAAGTCTTGTCATGTAGGATTGTCATTTAGGATTTATTTTGATTGATTGATTGATTGATTGATTGATTGATCGATCGATCAATGGACCGATAGATCCATGCCTGTACGTCTTTCAGACGCTTGTATGAGGCAATTCGAAAACAGAATCAATTACGTACTCGATTATGTTTTGGAATCGCCTGAAACAGGTACCTACATGCGCTGGTTCGCCACACTCAAGTGCCTGTTTGAGGAGATTCGAAAACAGAATCGATTACGTAATCGATTTTGTTTTGGAAGCGCCTCAAACAGGCACCTGCATGCGCCAGTTCGCCACAGTCAAGTGCCTGTTTGAGGCGATTCCAAAACAGAATAGATTACGTAATCGATTCCATTGTGGAAGTGCCTCAAACAGGCGTCCGAGCGGGGATGACCAATCCCACACGAAGCATTGCCCATCCCTCCCCAAGATTGATTGGTTGATTGCCTGACCAGATCTAGTACATGTGCTTTCAATCAATCAATCTATCGGTCAGTCAATCAGCCCAATCAACAAATCAATCAGTTGAGAGGTTCAGTTCTGGTGCATCAGAGCCCGACTCCGCTGCAACAGATTCAACTTTGTTGTAGAGGAGTTGCGTTATGAGAAACCAGAACTAGCACTGCAGCAGAACTAGCTCTGCTGCAGGGGAGTTGCGTTCTGGTAACCAGGACTAGTATGGCTGCTTCCAATCAATCAATCTATCGGCCAATTAGTGAATCAACTGACCAATCGGTCAATCAAGAGGTCCAGCTCTAGTGCATCAAAACCCGACTCTTCTGCTGCGGATTCAGCTCTGCTACAGGGGGGCTACGTTCTGATAAACCGGAACTCGCACTGCAGCAGAACTACCTCTGCTGCAGGGGAGTTGCGTTCTGGTGAACCAGAACTCGTACGGGTGCTTTCAATCGATCTATCGATCAATCGATCAATCAATCAATCAATCAATCAAGAGGCTCACTTCTGGTGCATTAGAACCCGACTCTGCTGCAACAGATTCAGCTCTGCTTCAGGGGAGCTGAGTTCAGGTAAACCAGAACTAGTATTGAAGCAGAACTAGCTCTGCTACAGGGCAACTGTGTTCTGGTAAACTAGAACTGGCACTGGTGCATCAATCAATCAATCAATCAATTAATCAATCAATCAATCAATTTCACTTGCAAGTTTCGGTGAACCAGAACTAGTGTTGGACCTTGCAGCTGACCTAGGGACACACAAGAACTAGTTTTGAGTCATTGACCGATTGATTGATTGATTGATTGATTGATTGATTGATTAATTGATTGATTGATTGATTGACTGATTGTTTGATTGATGGATTGATGGATTGATGGATTGACTGACAAACCTGTATGTGTCAGCTGTTTTTTTTTTTTTTTTTTTTTTTCTTTTGCTGCTTAGTGTGTCAGTGACCTGCACCCTGTTGACCAACCACCGAACATGTCAGTCAAGCACTCAAGCACGACAGTTGTCAATCACGGAGTTCAGCGAGATTAATCGTGATGTTAGCTGATCTGTCATCGATTGTTTGCAGTTGTCGCTCGGTGTTTCTCATGGACTGCTTGTCTTTTGTTTTTTCTTACTTTGTGGCAGTTGTTCAGCGATACGCTTAGTGCGTACATTTGTTTCTATTATACTACTTTCATGGCAAACCGCACGGTTATTGGGGGCGTTCAGTCTTCACCTCTCCCACCTTTGTCTGGTGGTGGTGTCTACCACCCTTTTTCGCAGATGGGCGCTCCTCATGATGTCCCACACTCGGTTGGCGTTGGTTTCACGTCTTCTTCAGAAATGCCTGTTCGTGGTCCTCCTCCTGTTCAGCAGACACCGACCGTGTCCCAACTACAACCTGCAGAGAGCAGTAGAACTGCTTCGCACAGGCAATCTTAAGAGGGACCCTCTCGTCGGCAACCCTTGATTGTTCTGAATACAAATATGGTTGCGTCGAGGTGGCACCCTGCACAGTCCCTAGGGCAGCAACAACAGCAGCAGTCGCAAAAGAGGAAAAAAGTTGTGACTAGGCGTCCTGTTGCAGAAGAGCGCAGTCCAGAAGGGCGAGGCAAGAGGGCGCACAAGGGAAGTGGGGGTTCTGGTGGGAAAGGGAAGAGATCCGCAGACACTGCCACTGCTGTGGCGGATCTTGAACCAGAGCCTGCGAGTGGGACACCTCTTGAGAGGATGTGGAGCAGCTGGTTTCCTTGAATGCGAAAAAGGTAATTGAGGACATTTTGAGTTTGCCAATGTCCTGCATGATCCGGCCTCCTATGGACACTCCCGACGGCCGGAGATCAAGGGAGGTCAGATTCCCCACAGAGTACCACGTCAGGGTCCTCATGGCGTCTATGGAGAGGGCGCCTCGTGGGGACCACTTGCCTTTTATGGGCATGACTGACTCGGCTGAGTGTACAGCAGTTGATCAGGTAGATGTACAGAAGTTGCGGTCAGGGGGCTACACCATTTGGATTTTGGGCGGCGGTCATTGTCGTGAGGCACGCAGCCGTTTGATGGTGAAACACCCTCACGTTGACGTCTATAAGAGGTATGTTTGCTATGTGTACGTGAGACTTACTGTTGAGGAGTCGCTGCTGGTTGGTCATGAGCATAACAATGTAGCAGGTTATTACAAGAAGTTCACTTTCATTCAGAGAATGCGCTATTCGAGGGATGTTTTCGAAAGGATGGGGTGTGAGAAATCGAATGAGGCCAAAAGGGCATGTTTGGAGGCGCTTGGTATCCCGTTTTTTTCATGGATTCAGATTGGTCCCTGGGATCCTCAACTTTAAATTTGCATGAGAGGGCTACAGGTTTGGGCTTTGCTGTTTGATATTTTCACTTTGTGGGAGGAGGCAAAGATCAAAGATGTGAAGATGAAGAAGGGCACGGGTGGTAAGAAGGTCAAGTCTCTTGAGGTTGCTGAGTCGAGTGCATCTGGCAGTGACACAGGGAAGGGGGAAAAGGGTGGAAGGCCAGTGAAAAAGAATAAGAAAAATGTTTGTAAGGAGCGTCTTTCTCTCATGGCACTCAATCCTTTGATGTATGTTTCTGAAAAGAATGAGATAGTGAGTGAACCTGCAGATATGCCTTACAAGCCTCTGCTGGGGATGGTTGCGCTCAATGATGCTCTGGTGGTCTCAATCCTCACAGAAGTTAAGAGTGGGGTCCTGTCGCTCGACGAGATGAACCACAAGTTCACGCTTCTTAAGGTTCATTTGAGAATAGTTGCGACATTCGTGGAAGGGGTAGGGGCAGACGGTTGGGAGGCCGTCAAAGAGGAGTTCGTTGTGCATACGCAGGAGGTTATGTTGTCTCAGTACTATAAGTTGTATGAGAGGAATGTCAAGGAAACTCCTCTTGCTATGCAGTTGTACATTGTCAAGGCCCTCAACTATAGGGACAAGTTGCGGTATTCACAACAAGAGGAGCAGACAACAACAACACAAGATTCTGAGGGCCTTCTCACAAACTGGACTGTTTTTTTAGGGGGAGGGCTACAAGGGAACTGTGAAGGTGGCGCACTGCGACATGCTCCAACTACCAGAGAAAATGGAGGATAGACTCCCCTTTACCTTATGCATTATGGACTTCTCATGTGGCTACAACGCAGAGGGTTCTGTGGATGATCATGAGCTGTTCAGTAGGCCTCAGATAGAGGGCAGCATTGCGAGGTTCAAGAAGATCACATACGCACCATATTGGGTCATTGCTGGTTTCTGCTCCTCTGACATGCTTGCTGACGTGAAATCTGCATTTTCAGAAGCTTTGCAATTGTGGGGTGGAGGTGGACATTTGGGTTGCTCCCAACATTAGTACTTGTGCAAGTCTCAAGCTCACGAACTGCTAGCAGCATTGTGTTCTTGGTTTCTACAGCCAGAGCGGCTCCAGGGAGCCCATTCAGTTCCAGTTCAACGACTCTGACACGAGGATGACCTGCTGGAGTCACAATGCGGTGGTGAGGAAGTACACTTTTGCTGAAGACAATGAGATTTTGTGTCCCTACCAGAAACCGATCTTCTTGTATGAGTGGCTCATCAAGAAGTTTTCTGACCCGAATGACTCATACATAGTGGATGCTTATCCTGGATCGGGGACTGGAGCCATTGCAACACTGTTGTGCAAACGAAATGTGCTGGTTATTGAAAGCGATCTGCATTGTGTGAGGGGCGTCAGGGCAAGGTTGGCAGGGAGAGGCTTTGTGGAGAGCGCCACGAAGGAGAAAGACAGCAAGAGCCGCACAGTGTCTGAGGGTTGGAGACACGCCTGAGGCTTCAGGCATGCATAAGTTGATAGGGACCTTCCATTCGCCTCGCATAGGTTTGATGACACAGCCTTGTTGCTTTGGTGCTTTTATGTGGCACATATTTTTTGTAGGCTCTCTTGGGACATTAATCACTTTTAATGTTTGAGTTTTTTCCACCAATGTTGCCAAGTACATGGGAACCTGCCCACTTGCTTTTCTTGGGTATGCTTGGATAGTTGTTGACTTTCTGCCTTACTGTTGGGACTTGCAATGAGATGGTTGTTGCACTTCGTACATGCAATGAAATTTTATTTGGCAACACCTGTTTTTGTGGACACAGACTTGGTGATGACAATTAGGAATTCGCTCTTTGCCTCAACTGTGCTTGTGGCTAACCTCAAATTTTCTGCAAAACTGTTATATTATTGACATGGCTTCTTTGAATTTCTTCGATGTGAAAAAAACTTGAACTTTAGTATATTGTCGTGAGACATTGATCGCAGGGTTAAATACGTTTTCTTGAAAACCTATTTTTTATCTATGTTGTTGTGACCCGTACACCTGAGATCTAAATCTTGCCCTCAAAACTAGTTCATCAAAAACCGTATCGCAAAATCAGGCAAAATGAACTTTCGTTTCAGTCTAGTTTTCACGACCTGCATGTTTACCATGCTGTTGTGGTGGAGCCAGCCCGACTTCTGAGATCCGAGGTTCGCTCGGGCGAGGACGAGGAGTATCCCGGACCACCTCCTAGGGAAAGGACATACGCTTATTCACAAAAGGGCCCTAAGTTTCTTGACACCTCGCGTTAAGGGGAGTTGCCATAGCATACCCCTCTAGTATGGTAGTAGTGGCAATTTTAGGAGCCACTGACGTATGGGGAACTGGCGCCTAAAGAAGCCCAATACGTGTATTCACTAGTTTTGGATGAAGTGCGAGTAGGTACTACCTCCGCTGATAGGTTTGCACCATAAGAAGTGCAAACCTGGAAAAGTTTAGATAGGTTGATAGGAAGTAGCGACTAATGCAATGCTTTGAAAATTCTTATGATGAAGACGGGTACTTCAAGTTCATCATTCGTGGGATGGAAAAAGACGTTATTGCCGAGGAGGACAAGGCAACCAACAAAATTTGAGAGCGGATCCCTCGTTTTCGGCGGGGTAACCAGTGTATCGGTTGTCCAAATCAACCGCTAATCTGACCACTATTCCGCCAGATTACTTGCAACTGTCATTCACACCAAAGTTAGAAAGATAGTGCAGTCACCATTAAAGCAATGGTATCCTAACTCTACTTCAAAATTGAGAGTTGTCTGCGTTTCTTTTCTAGCAGTCAGTATGGAGCGGAATGAAAGAACTTGGCAACGCATCTCATCAAGTCGAAAAATTGTGTCAGGCCAGCCATTTGGCAAGCGGAGTGGAGATATTGTGGTCAGACATTATTTGAGCGTGGCTATGCATGTTAATCATGCGTTTATCATTTTGTTGATAAGTGTTATTTGAAAGCGAGTCAGCTCATGATGGCTCGTCGTTGGATGGCAAGTCAAGTCGACCTATGTTGACTCGTTCTGAATGGGTGGTATGCGTGTTGAATTCTATTATGGATAAATCGATTTCAGAAGATAAGTTAACTTACGCTGACCTGAGTCTTCTTCATTTGAAAGTGTTTTGTCCGAGTAACTCTTGATTGTTTTTGAAAGAATGGACTAGGATCACTCAAAGTTTTCCTTACACTTGGAATATCACGTCCTAGTCGACCGGTGTACGTTCCGATTCTTGGGAGATCAGCGCCCCAGGGACGGACGATATTCGGGTCCACTTTGGCGTTCAACCATGCGTACCTATGCTACAACGAACGAGCAAACGCCCTCGGCCGGCCTACCTCTGCAATTGCATTATAAAAGCCTTCGTACGTGGGCCGGTAGCTCGGCGGGGATACACCCCTAAGGGTGTTGACAACCCCTTAGGGAAGGCAAGTTGTGCCCCGCTGGAACCTATCTTGTCGTAGGGGACCGCGGGATGTACGGCTGGCGCACTCGGCCGGAGCGGCGAAGGGTCGGCGCGGGTTACCGTGTCGTCCTCGAGTTGTCTCTGAAAAGTTGAAAGCCTAAGTTTCTCCTGCGTGATGCGGCCGGGAGGGCCCTCGCTCGCGCGGGGGCCGATGCGCTCGACAACGCGTCCTCAGGCGACCGGAACGGATGATGGCACAATGGAGGTCTTCGCCCACCGAAGCTCGTGCTCCAAGCTGCCACGCGCTATCACTCAAGGAGCCGACCTAACGACGGACCTCTTTGCCGGACACACCTTCCACCACACACTGCGCGTCGTCGTCGTCACTCAACGGGGCGAGAACAAGGCAGGCATGAAAGGGATGGCGAGGAAAAAGACATATCCACTGCCTAGCCGCCGCGCTGGGAATACCTGTGTGCCACCTAGCCGTCGTCCCTCGCCCGAAACTCAAATTTGAATTTTGGACGGGAACATTTACACCTTTTTAAAAGTTTTTTTTTCTTTTTTTCACGCCCGTCGCCTGTGAACCAACATGCCTTTTGAGCGGACATCCCAACCGCCCCACGGACACACCTCCTGCGGCGGCCCCACGGACACACCTCCTGCGGCGGCCCATAATCATATAAAATTGGCGGCCGCGTATAATCGTATAAAATTGGCCGGGGGAAGTCACCGTCTTGGAGCCATTCCCCGAGGATTGGTGGAAAGAAGCCGGCAAAATTCCAAAATTTCCCCACGGAATCATCCTCGTAGCCCGAGGACACCCTGCGGAGTATCTAACTACACGCTGTGTCCAGGTGCATTCAAAATCTTGGCCGATGGTGACGGGTCCAGCTACCCGTCGGCCCTATCCTGAACTTGCCGCGCCATCTTTCGCGCGGGCCAGGGGCATTCGAATTCGAATGTCGCCCGAGCAAAAAAGCAAACGTTGACGTCAGCAGTGAATGGAACGGAGCGAACTGAATCGTTCGTCCGCGAAGGTCATGATTGTCATTGACCTCGCCATCGCCTAAGCCGTCTTTCCAGGTCATTTCCCTCCCCCCCTCCTCTTCTCCTCCTCCTCCCCCTCCTCCACGTCCCCCTCCACCTGTTCTCCTCGTTCCGCCTCTTCCTCTTCGCCTCTTCCGCCTCCTCTCCGCCTTACCTTCTCCCCCTCCACCTCTCACTTCTCCTCTTCTTTCTTCCTCCTCCTCCCCCTCTCCTTTTCTTCTCCTTCTCCTTCTCTCCCTCGCCTCCTCCTCCCCCTCCTCCTCCTCCTCCTCCTCCCAGGAGAGCCAGGAGGCGCTTTGCAGGAAGGTGATGTGAAGGTGTTTAAGTGTGCATGCAGATAGGTCCAATCGAAAGGCGAGCGGCTGAGGAGGAGCTAGAACGAGAGACGGACTAGACGGGCATAGCTATGGTAGCGCTAATTTGATAGAACGGAAGGGGGGCATAGATGGCGCAAAGAGCACGGGAGACGAAGGCTACCTGGAGTATGGCGCGAGGAGAAGGATGGGTGTAGAGGACGAATGTTGCCCACCTTCCGCCGAATAGAACATACGGTCATACTAGCTGTATATGATGCAACTTTCAGTCTAGATGCAGCGATAATTACGGTATGTTCTGCTCGGTGGAAGACGGGTAGTCCAAGGAGGGTGAAGAGAAGAGGGGCGTCCAGGAGGGAAGGCAAGCATGTGTGAAAAACAAGACTGCTGTCCTTGGGGACAGCTGTTAGAATGGGAACGATACAGAGAAGAGAAGGGTAATTACACAAAAAGGTCCCTGCGCTTTCAAGGATTGACACGCATGGATCGAGAAATGGTCCCCCCACCCCCCCCAAAAAAAAGAAAAAAAACGAAAGAAAAAAAGACAAGATAGGTAGGAGGATTGAGGCGGGCAGAGGGAGAATGTGTAGTCGAAAGAGGAGGAAGAGGGGTGTCGAGGACGAAGGAGGACCAAGATTGGGAGGAGAGGGGCAGTCTTAGAAGTTCGTCTTCTACCACCTCCTCCTCCTCCTCATCTTCCTTCTCCTCTTCTTCCTTCTCCTCTTCTTCCTTCTCCTCGTCTCCTCCTCCGCTTCTCCTCCTCCTCTCCTCCTCAACTTCCTCTTCCTCCTCTCCTCCTCCTCCTCTTCTCCTCCTCCTCTTCCATCTCCTTCACCTCCTCCTCCTCGTCCCGGCGAATGCCTCTCTTAATGCGTGCAAGTTGCACGATAGGTGGTGGTCCCGTGATGGAAATATACTTAGACATCCGATGTGCGTTTTGAAGATCGACATGGTATTGTAATTTCGGGCCCGCTGTGAAAAATGAGGGGAGCCACACAGAGAGAGAGAGAGAGAGAGAGAGAGAGAGAGAGAGAGAGAGAGAGAGAGAGAGAGAGAGAGGTGGCCCCCTGATGGAAATATACTTAGACATCCGATGTGCGTTTTGAAGATCGACATGGTATTGTAATTTCGGACCCGCTGTGAACAATGAAGGGAGCCACACACACACACACACACACAGACACAGACACACACACANAGACACAGACACACACACACACACACACACACACACACACACACACACACACAGAGAGAGAGAGAGAGAGAGAGAGAGAGAGAGAGAGAGAGAGAGAGAGAGAGAGAGAGAGAGAGAGAGAGAGAGAGAGAGGTTCTTTTCAGAAGAGAGTTGGCTCGTATGAGGTCAGTTTTTTCTTCCCCTTTTGCTGTGTCGGCTCCACAATTGTGTATCGGACAGAATATTCGTTTCGAAATTCAGATACGTGTCCTTCGGGACATCCGTAAAAATTGAAACGATACAGAGAAGATTAGCATGGCCCCTGCGCAAGGATGACACGCATACAAAAAAATATAAAAATAAAAATAAAATAAAATAAAAAAATCAGATACGTTTTTATTTTCCTGCTTTGTTAATTATTTTTCTCGCACCTTTCATTAGATGCCTTGTCTTTGTCTTTTCCTCTCTCTCTCTTTCTCTCTCTCGTTTCTTCAAAAAAATATTTTCTCTTTTCTTGGTGGTTAATTCTTGCTCACTATGATGACTCTCTTTCCAAACACATAATTTCAAAGAATTTCTGGAATGGAAACAAAAAAATGCATCTCTGCCTAAACCCTAACACAAAAAGTTGCTTTTCTTAGGTACCTTACTCTTTTCTTTTTTTTTTCTTTTTTTTTCTCTTGAGGGGTTGGAGGGTTGGGGGCCGGGGGGGGGGGATTTGTTTTGTGATGACTCCAGCTTTTTTTTTTTTTTGTTTTCTCTGTTTTTGCTATTGAAACCTCGTCCGAGGAAAAATGACGACCGTCGCCAAGGTGGCTCCAAAACTCTC